TGAAGTTGTTTGTCAAGTAAATGAATAATGTGGCTTCATTAATCAGTGCTTATGTGTAAAGAATGCTTTAATATGCCCATATATCTATCCTATCCAGACAAAGACTCTGTTCTTTTGTCCTCTCTGTGCCTGAAATATATCCATGGAAAGGTCCTTTTTCTACATATTTTGGCTGTAGATCCTAGAAGCCACTGGCCAGGATGTTTTCATTCCTTCACTTCATACTATTTGATTGCAATAAAACAAATGAGGGGAAGTGTTTTCCCAGTCAGAGTGGGGAACTGACAGGTATGGAAACCTAAAACAACTCTGGGTCCACCACAACTTATCTGCTACTGCTTAACCCCTTTATACTTTCTGACGTAGCTGCCAATGCATTTTTAAATTCAATTAGCCAACATATCCTTAGTTTCAGATGTAATGTTCAACAATTTATCAGTTGCATACAACACTCACTGCTCATCACATCACACCAATGCATTATTTTCATGTGATCACAAACCACCTAATGAAGCAGTTATTGGGAAATTACTGAGGAAACCAAGAAGTTAACTCTGGTGTAGAGGGAAGAACGCTGAAATGGGGAACAAAAACTTGAGTTCTAGTCTTTGCTCTAACCCTAATCAATTTGTGACTTCAGGCAAGTAAGTTCCTCAACTTTGATGTCTCTTGTTTTGTTGTTTGTAAAAAAAGATGATTATATTAGATCACTTCAATGGTTGTTTCCTGTTATATCTTCCATGATTTTTCTATCATTTTTTCCCAAAGATTTTATTTCATTTGTTCATGAGAAATAGAGAGAGAGAGAGAAGCAGTCTCCCCATGGAGAAGGACCCCAATGTAGGACTCAACCCCAGGACCCTGGTATCACAACCTGAGCCAAAGACAGATGCTTAACTGACTGAGCCATCCAGGAACCCGATTTTTCTATCATCCTTAACCATGGCCATAGAAGAATACATATTTCTGACAGCTGGCAAAAAGCCCAAATCTTCTACCTTTTTTACCCCTTGTGATGAGAACTACTAGGATCTACTCTCTTAACAACTTTCAAGTAGGGTGCCTGGGTGGCTCAGTGGGTTAAGCCTCTGCCTTCAGCTTAGGTCATGGTCTTGGGGTCCTAGGGTCATGTCCTGCATTGGGCTCTCTGCTTGGTGGGGAGCCAGCTTCCCCCCCCTCTCTCTGCCTACTTGTGATTTCTCTCTCTGTGTGTCAAATAAATAAATAAAATCTTAAAAAAAAAAACAACTTTCAAATATACCATATGGCAGTATTATCTATAGTCATCACATTATACATTATTATACCCCCAGTACTTATTTATCTTAAAACTGGAATTTTGTACCTCTTGACCACCAGCATCCAATTCCCCACCCCCACCTCCCTTCTACCTTCTTCTTCTTCTTCTTTTTTTTTTTTAAAGATTTTATTTATTTATTTGACAGACAGAGATCAAAAGTAGGCAGAGAGGCAGGCCGGTGGAATAAAAGGATGACCAATGCAGAGACACAAGCCTGTGTAAAACCAAGAACCTTACAGAAAAGAACTCTAAATCATGCAGGATAGCTTGAGTATCTCTAGGTAATATCTCTAGGAGTCTACCAAGACATTATGGTCAGAGACCCTAGAACCACATAGGAATACATTCTTTTTTTTTTTTTAATTTTTTCAGTGTTCCAAGATTCATTGTTTATGTACCACACCCAATATTTTATTTATTTATTTGACAGATCACAAGCAGGCAGAGAGGCAGGCAGAGAGAGAGGGGGAAGCAGGCTCCCTACTGAGCAGAGCACGTGATGCAGGGCTCGATCCCAGGACTCTGGGATCATGACCTGAGCCGAAGGCAGAGGCTTAACCCACTGAGCCACCCAGGCGCCCCAAGAATAACCCATTTTTTAAACCAAAAATCATACTACTGGCTATCCCATCTTGCAGCCTTTTTTTTTTTTAAGGTTTTTTTGTTTTTGTTTTTTGTTTTTTTTTTTACAGACAGAGATCACAAGCAGGCAGAGAGGCAGGCAGAGTGGGGGAAGCAGGCACCCTGCTGAGCAGAGAGCTGGATGTGGGGCTCGATCCCAGGACCCTGAGATCATGACCTGAGGCATAACCCACTGAGCCACCCAAGTACCCCTTGCAGTCTCTTTCTTAATTACTTGTAACATGGGCATTTATGGGAGCCAAAGAGAGATTCATTTACATAAAATATGAGTCACTGAGAGGTTTTTATACTCTAAGAAAGAGAGTCCTGTGACTCAGTCACAAGTTTAAGCCTAGAGTGAGAACAGGACTTGGGATAAGAAGATATCAGAGGGTCCCAGGATGTCTGGGGGCCAGGGGAGGAATAGGCATTTAGTGCATGGAGTGCCTTAGAAGCACAGGGGAAACCCAAGTTCTATTCAAGTGTCGCAGGACATCTGAGGGCATGGTCTAAGAAAATGAGGGATTTGCACTCTTCTAGAAGCAGAGGAGAGTGCAACATTAACGGTCCAACTATTTTATTTAGCTAAATAAAACAAACTCCCGCCTTGTGGGAGTTTTCTCACTCTGACCACAGCCCCAGACAAAAAAGTTCCTATGTGTGGAATACGAAAATCAAAGATCCCCGCATGAGCTCTCTTATGTGATATCAGGCCTTTGTGTAACACTCTGCAAAGAGAGTCATGTTGAGGAAGATGTCCACTGTATTGGCTGTGGTTAGTCTCCTGTAGCTATCACTTTTCTTTTCAGACCACTGTGTGCAGTGTGAAGAAGCGGCCTGATTTCTTCACTTCAGGCCAATGGGAGGTAGTCACAGAATCTGAAGGGAAAAAGGAGGTAAACGTCTTTGATGGAGTCATGGTTTGCACTGGCCATCATACCAATGCTCACTTACCCTTGGAAAGCTTTCCTGGTGAGTAGCCTACAAGGGAGGAAACACTTGAACCGTGCCTGTGACATGATCTCTGAGGAAAGGGAGGGTTGTGGCCTGAGTGATCCCACCTAAGGATGAGATAAGGCTTATCCTAATTCTACATGTTCCCCTGAAAGATGTTGGGGCAACCGTGATTAGTGCTCTTTGGGAGGTAGAAATAACCTTAGTTTTGGAACCTAGAGAAAAATTAGAGGGCTCTATCTTTGGTTTCACAATAACCTTGGTTTTTCTAAAGATCAAAAGAAAGAACATGGGAGTTGATCCATATTAGGTTGCATAAGGACTTTTTCAGCAATCAAGGGAACAAACAAATATTGAGTTTCTAAGGAAGAAATGAAAACTTAAAGAATTTAATTATAGTTTTTGACCTGGATTTTCATTTTGAAAAAAAAAAAAAAAAGTACTCTAGTATTATCTAGAGTATATGAAAACATATGTACTCCAATTGAAATGGCAGTAGGTATTTAAAGATGAAAAGACAAAAGAGAAAGGTATTCTGCAGCGGTTTGGATTAGGGAAGCTACAAATCCAAAATACAAACAGATCCTCAGGTGAGCAGACTATCCGTGATAAGGAAATCACAAGGTTCTTCTCTGAGACTATGAGAAAATAGGCAAAAATAGAAAGGCAAGCATGTAGCTGAATAGGGGGAGAATATAGATGTGTACTTAAACTCTACATACTGCCAGTGAAATGGATGTTTCAACGAATAATAGCAGATAAACCTCATCTGGTAATTATTTTCCCTTCTCTTGCAGGAATTGAGAAGTTCAAAGGACAGTACTTACACAGCCGAGACTATAAGAATCCAGATATTTTCACCGGAAAGAGAGTCATTATAATTGGCATTGGGAATTCGGGAGGGGATCTGGCTGTGGAACTTTGCCACACAGCCAAGCAGGTTTGAATTAGTAAATTATTTTCTTTGCTGCATCAAGGAAGCTGTATGTAGACCCAACAAAGAGTACGAATACCTCTGCCCACAGCCTATCAGTGTCAGTAGCAAGCAGGGCTTGGCTCCGTTGCCTCAGTTGGCAACATTATGACGATGAGATGATGGAGCCAACATTCCCTGTTAGATTCCCATCATTCAGTTGACTTCACACTACAGAATCCCAATGATCCCAGTCAGCTGTCTCTTCTGAGTATGCCTCTGACTTGGAAGACCAAGCAGTAGCTTGAGGAGCTTGGTTGAATGCAGCATTCAGTGTGGCACCTGTTGAGCCTAGTGGAAGTGCCACACTCTCATATAAAGGAAAGCACGCTGGTTTAGTGGAAGGCTTTGGATTCATAGGATGGTGGGGGAGTTTTTCTCTTCACTCCCCAAGTGGAAAATAGAAACAGTCTAATCTTTCCAAAGATAATGTGGATATCAGTATGAAAAGCATCCATGCTGTAGCATGTGCAAGGAGTTCACCCCAGCCTTTGCATACAGTTAGGTATCAGAATGACATTCACTCTAAAGCAATTTCTACAACCTAGAGTTTTTTTGTTCTGTTTTGTTTTGTTTTTTTGGGGTCCCGATTTGCACTCCAGTGTTAAAAAAGACCTGAGCTGTTTTGTTTTTTGTATCATATATTTTGAGCTGGAAAGAAAATGTCTTCATTATAAATTCCTAGAAAAAGACATGTCATTTTATATCTTGTTATTCATGTCTTTATTGAATAACTTTATTGGCAATAGGTAAATGGTCATTTTCCAACAACTTTACTTAAGCTGTGTTTCTCCACATATATGTTTAAAATTTTTTTAAAATAGAAGTTTAATGCCACACCTTTGTTAAATGACCTTTATCCAGAAATTCTGTTCAATAACACTTCTCAGTATTATCCCCATCTATCACCACAAAAGTAATTTCATATGTTACCCCATAAATTAATTCAACAAGTTTTATCAGTAAATAGGTATATAAACAAAAAAGTGTAAAAATGTGTATAGGTATTATGATAAAAGAGTATGTAAGGTATATGATGGTGACCCAAAGCATGAGTCTTTTTTAATAGCACTGGCTTATCAAATGGTCAGTTATAAGGGAGTTGGGCCTTCCATGCACTGAGGAGCTAGAGACTGCCAAAGAACAAAGCATCCAGAGTGGATGGAGATAAGGTGGCTGTGTCTAAGAAGGCCTGGGGACAACTCACGGCACAACCATGTCTGCATGGCAGGGGTGACACTAGCACACTTCTAATGCAAGTCAAAGAAACTCAGTTGCTGGGTTCTAACTTTTTGCTTTACATATTAAACTGTATTTATTAGAATTTGTTTGAAGATCAAAAAATTTAATGGACCTATAAGTTTCAGCCTATCAAGGAAGTTTTGGTATAATAAATTTTGTGGTATAATATTTTTGTGAAAACACCCATTTCTTATAAAACAACTGTCCTTACATTTTTTCTTATAAATCCAGATTTGTACATATGGTATTTGCTTAAAGCAAGCTATAGATGGGAAACTGAAATGAGAAATAAGACGATAGCCATTAGGCATCTATTGAGTGTTTACTATATGCCCCACCCTTTGCAGAACCACTATTTAATTCTCACAACAGCCTTGTGATATATTATTGTTACTGCTTTATACATAGGGAATCTTTTAATTGAGACCCTGAGCATTTACTCACATACTTATGTAACAAAAATTATACAGACTACGCACAACCCTGTGTGATTTCTAAGACCATGCATGCTTTTTCAACTGTACTTAATCATCAGAGCATGTAAGGTTACCATCAGTGAGAATCTATGAGTGAAGTATGTTATTATCCCTCTGTAGACTGGTCACCTTTTTATATGAGAGTTTACAGACAAAAGACCATAAAGCAGGTACTTATGTACCTTACAATTATGGAAACTATCTCCAGAGAGTTTTGTAGAGAAAGTGATACTTTCACCAGGTAATTGAATGTCAGAACTCAGCTCCGAGCATGGAATTTAGCCTGCAGAGGACACATAAAGACTGACCAGCTTCCTGTTGTTCCACTAGTGATCTGCAGTTTTTCCATAAAATAATCAGTGCAAGACTTCTTCAAGCACAGGCTTTGGGGTTATCAGACCTGGGTTGGAAATTCAACTCTGCCACTTACTAACTGTACGATTTCAGCAAGTTATTCATTCTCTCCATGGCTCTCATCCATAAAATGGGAACAATAATATCTACTTCAAGAGGTTGTTGTATTGATTAAGTGAGACTATAGATAAAGGACCAGCACAGTGACTTACAGGTCACAATTCTCAATAAATGAAAGCAACAAGGATGGTGGGTTGGATGTTGGGTTGGATGGTGTGTTGGGGAGACTGAAAGATGTCTACACTGTACCTCCCACTCTGGAGGAAACACATTTGCAGAGACAGAAATAAGAGTGTAAAAAGTTTAATATCAATATAAATGATAAATAATAGGGGTTTTTGGTAATATGCAAATAATGTCAAAGCAAAAGAGACTGAGGGTTTCAGATTAAATGATGTCCAATTGCTTTCAGTTCTACTGCTCCTTGATTTTAAATGAGTTGGACAGGTTAAGTGCTAGAGTTCAAAGGATAGAGAGAAAATTGTCAGGCAGAATGGTCAGTGGTGTCTTATGGAGGAGGCACACTTATCTGGATCTTGACAATAAATAGGCTTTGGAGAATTAAAAGGATAGGTGGCTTTTCAAGGAGGCATAATGACATTAAACAGAAATGCAGTCATGGTTGAGAGAAAGACACATTCTTGGTCAGCGAATGTACTAATTTAATTGTATACTTAGTGTTTGAAAAGAAAAATTGCAGGAAATAAAAAAGGACAGACAAACTAGTTTGAACTTAATCTTGAAGAGAGTGGGGTGCTATTAAAGGATTATAAGGAGAGAATGACAAAAGAAAACAATTTTTTCCCCATGCCCCAGGTTTTTTCTCAGTACCAGGAGAGGGGCTTGGATCCTGAATCGTGTAGCAGACTTTGGATATCCTTTTGATGTGTTATTCTCTTCTCGATATAAATACTTTCTTTTGAAGATTTGTGGCCTATCATTAGTCAACAGTTTTTTAGAGAAAAAGTTGAACCAAAGGTGTGACCACGAAATGTTTGGCCTAAAGCCGAAACACAGGTATGTTGCCATAATGTAAGTAGGGCAGTGATGGCCAACGCACAAGAATAAGGACTTCACATGGGATAACAGTAGAGCTACTTCTACCCATACATTAAGAAAATACACATATCTGGGGCACCCGGATGGCTCAGTGGGTTGAGCCTCTGAATTCGGCTCAGGTTGTGATCTCGAGGTCCTGGGATCGAGGTCCGCATCGGGCTCTCTGCTCAGCGGGGATGCCTGCTTCCCCCTCTCTCTCTGCCTACTTGTGATCTCTCTCTCTCTGTGTCAAATAAATAAATAAATAAAATCTTTAAACAAAAAAAAAAGAAAGAAAAAGAAAATACACATATCTGAAATCAGATTTCTACTTTACCCTTATAGAAGTCCAAGATCTACTGATCTGTAATCATCAGCCTGTGATTCTCCTTGGCATTAACCATTTTATCATTTCCTCAAACACAGGTTCTTTTTACATGATACCCAGTAACAATAAAATGGTAGCAGATAGCAGTAAATTATTCATTCATCCCACAAACACTGAGCACCTGGTATGAGCCAAGCATTATACTGCACACGAGAATACAGAGACTAAAGACTTAATAGTAATACTAATACAAATAATAACACCTTACTTTTCTGAAGACTTACTATAAGACAAGCACATTGCTAACTGAGTTCTGTGTATGATCTCATTTAATCCTCACAACAACTCTATAGGTTAGAACTATTTTTTTTAATTGCTAGTTTGCAGGTATAAAAACTGACACTTAGAGAAACTAATTTCTATGAGGTTACACAAGAAATAAATGTCAGACTTGAGAAATGGATCTTACCTTAAATACTCTAAGGAGAAGACAGGCAATAAAATATGATAAATGCATGGAGAGCTGTGGGGGTATGAAGTATGGGAGTCCTCACACAGGAAGGTAGACTGTGAAAGCATTTCTAGAGGCTGATTTTTATTTTTTTTTTTAAGATTTATTTATTTATTTACTTACTTACTTACTTACTTACGTGAGAGAGAGAGCATGACAGAGGAAAGGGTCAGAGGGAGAAGCAGACTCCCTGCCGAGCAGGAAGCCTGATGCGGGACTCGATCTGGGACTCCAGGATCATGACCTGCGCCAATGACAGTCACTTAACCAACTGAGCTACCCAGGTGCCCTAGAGGCTGATTTTTAAATGCTTTTTTCCAACTCTTTATTTTCTTTAGTGTTCAGATTTACTTACTACAAAATAGTAAGTACAATGAGTACACATAATACCTTTCACTTAGATTCACCTATCAACAGTTTGTTGTATTTGCTTCCTCTCTCTCTCTCCCTCTCTAAAGATAGATAAATCTCCACATATAGAGAGCATCCATCCATCCATAGATACATACATACATATTTTTTCCTGAACCATTTCAGAGTAAGTCACAGTCACTAGGACACCTTATCCTACATTCTTCAACATATATTAAGAAATGGGATATTCTCCCACATAAACATAACACAGAGACCACACAGGAAATTCAGCATTGATAAAATACGTTATCTAATATATCAGATATTCAGATTTCCTAAATTATCCCCAAAATATTTATGGCTCTTTTATTTTTAAATCTAGGATCCTTTCAGGTATTAGCCAATTGCATTTAAATGTTAGGTCTCTTTAATTTCTCTTCATCTGAAATAATTCACCATTTTTCAACAAAGACTTTTATAAAAGAATTGAGCCAATTGTTTTATAGAAAAATCTCTAAGTTTGGACTTGCATAGTTGTTCCACCTTTACTATATTCTGGTTAAACATTTTGGCACAAATACTCATAGGTTATATTGTACCTTCTTGGTGGATCACACCAGCATCCACATGATATGAGTTTATCCTGTACTAATGTTAAATTTGATCAGTTGGATAAGGTGGCACCTACGAAATTTCTCCTTTGTAAAGATTTTTTTCCTTTGATCAGTGGGGTGATACTTTGAGACTATGTTCCTGAGGCTAGACCAGCTCTGTCTGAATATGATGCCAAGAATTCTCAGAGCCTGTTAACTAAGGGCCCAAGGATTCAGACTGATTTTTAGAAAGGTCCACGACACTGGAAACCCTATTTTGGGGGGGTACCCTTATCCTATGCTGTCTCTAGGAAAATACTACTTAAGAGGCTTAGAGGCTCCCAAAGGAATTTGCACTAAACCATTTTGAGATAAATTCTAAAATCCTGGTCTGTATAACCTTGGGCAAGCCACTTAAGTTCTGTAGGCCTCAATTTCCTCATCTCTAAACTTGGATAATGATACCTGTCCTGCCTCCTTCATTGGGTTTGTGTGAGACTCAAATAAGTGAATATATATAGAATCAATTTTTAACTGTAAATTACTATATACATGTCATATATTATACAGTTTGGAAAATCATGGTTTAATTCTAGCT